GAAGTTCAGAAGGGGAAGGGTGGAAAGCTCTTTAAATGGAATAAAACATTCAGGCTCTTTTCATGTACAAAATGGCGATAAATGTGGAGTTTGGAGCAGAATGGGTTTTTTGCAAGAATGTCATGGTTTTGCAGCAAAAGTGCATAAGCAAAGTATTCGGGTACAGGGTTTTTTTAAAAGGAAAGAACAGCATTGGGTGGGTCTTCTCCAGTAGTTATAAATATGGCTACATAACCTTGGTTATCCTGACCTGGAAGCTACGCAGGGTTGGCTCTGGGTAATATTTGAATGGGAGACCTCCAAAGAATACCAGGGTTGTGATGCAAAGGCAAACCACCTCTGAATGTCTCTCTTGCCTTGAAAACCCAAGGGGACGCCATATGTCAGCTGTGACTTGATGGCACTTTACACCCCCACCTTAACCTTGGTTTGTTTATCTGCCTCTTTCTCATCACTCCTGAATCCTGTTCCATTTGAACAAAGTTTGAGTCCATTGGCATCTTTAAGACCAACAAATAAAATTTAAATAAAACTTTGTTCATCTTATAGGTGCCATTGGACTAAAACTTTGTTCTGCTGCTTCAGACCAACACAGCTACCTACCTGAATCCTGTTCCATTTGGTTATTTTTTTGGTTTTTTTAATGGGAGGAATGGAGGAAATCTGTGATCATTTGGGATGAGGGGGAAGCTGGTTGTAGAACCACAGACTCAAGTGAGGAGATACATTATTGGATCTACTCTTGGTTTGAATGGACTGTCTGCTTTTAATAAATTTGGTACATTCTATTGTTAGGGGGAAAATATAGTTAATAAAGAGAGGATGAGAAATAGCTGAATGGTGCTCCTAAGTTAATACTGAATAAACAAGTGAATCTCAGTCTCAGAATGTTATAAAGAATGTTCAGCTCAAGAGAGCCTGCAATAACTTCTTGGGCTATAAATACCCAGCACGGCTGAAAAGCTGCATCTCTAGAGTACAGTGGCTGGTAGTCTGTACTGCTGCTGGAATAGCACAGAGCAGACTGCATTATTCTGTTAGATGCTTTAAGTATTGGGAGAGGGTGCTTAAAAATATTATTTATTTTATTTACTTAACTTATACCCCACCTTTCTCCCCAGTGGCAACCCAAAGTCGATTAGATTATCTCCTCTCCTTATTTTATCCTCACAACAATACTATGAAGTGCGAGTGGCCCAAGGTCACTTAGGGGACTGTGACAGACAGAAGGCTGTCCTGCCCCTGAAGGGGAAAACAGCCACTCACTTGAGCCTATGGGAGTGCTGCTCCAACATCCAGTCACCTCTCAGAAGAGGGATGGAATGTTGCAGGGAAACACAGCAGGAGTTTAGTTCCGTTCTGCCTCAGGAAGAGAGTAGTGAGAGCTCAGGTCTAGGGGTGTGCATTCGGCAGTAACCAAGCCAAATGAATACCCAAAAATACCTTATCGGTATTTTTCAAGTATCATTTAAGCCAAATACACATCTCTGATCTGTATTCGGCTACCGGTATAGCTGATTATCTGGCTTTTATTCGGGTTCATTTGGGTATATCGATCTCTACCAGCTATTTAAAACTAACAGTTGACAGGCGGAGGAAGGGGAGCGAAAGGGAGGGCTGAGATGACTTCCTCCAGATTTTATCTGGCTTTTATTCGGGTTCATTCGGGTATATTGATCTCTACCAGCCATTTAAAACTAACAGTTGACAGGCGGAAGAAGGGGAGCGAAAGGGAGGGCTGAAATGACTTCCTCCCATGTAAACCGATCAGTGCTGCATCGATCAGTTTACATGGGAGGAGTGCCATCCCTTCCCTCTCTGAGCCTTCCTGCTGCTACGGGGAGACTCAGGGAGGGAAGGCGCAGAGTGGCGAGGTACATTTAAATGCCTTTCTTTTCCTCCTCAAGTTCGAGCAGGGAAAGAAAGACATTTACACCGGCCGTCCCTTCACTCCCTGAGCCTCGTCGCTGCTGTGGGAAGACAGGGAGGGAAGTCGCAGAGTGGCTAGGCATGACTAAATGCCTTTCTTTTCCTCCCCGAGTTTGGGGAGGGAAAGAAAGGCATTTAAACATGCCTGGGTGATTAAAGGAAAAGGTGTAATTTTGAACAAGTTGCTATATCCAAAATACAAAAGTTTGATTTAAAAAAAAAACATGCCTGGGTGGCAAGGCAGCTGGAGAAGGGAAAGCAGAGAGCCGAGGCCTTCCCTTCCCTCCCTGAGCCTCTCCGCTACTGCGTGGGGACTCAGGGAGGAAAGGCAGGGACAGCGAGGTATGTTTAAATGCCTTTCTTTCCCTCCCCAAGTTCGAGGCACCAGGGGAAGGGAAGGCAGAGAGAGGAGGCTTCCACTGGTCAGTTTCACTCCCATTGGGCTGTCAGCTGTTAGGTTTAAGTGTCCTAAACCTAACAGCTGACTGGTCTGGAGTGAAACTGACCCCTGGAAGTGGAGGGGGGCTTGGGGAAGGAAGGAAGGCATTTTAACATGCATCCCTTCCCTCCCCACAAGCATAACAGACCCGAACATATTCAGCAATACCGAATATTTCCCCAGTCCCAATATTTTACTGGTATTGGACTGGGGAAATTCCGTATTTACCAATCTTTTTCAGGTCTGTTATACCTGAATCCGAAAAATACCGAATTTTTTTTCCCTTGCACACCCTTACTCAGGTCTGGCTCAGGAAAAGATCAGAAAGAGTGAAGGGTAGTTCTGCTTGGCAGAATGGTTTGGCTCTACTTCTGATGGAGGAGAAGAGTACACAATCACTAGGCCTGTCTCTGGCAGTGAGGAGACCTTGTGCCATTTAATCTGACTCTTGGGAGAGGTAAGGTTGGTGTGGGTGGAATCCTGTGCGTGTGTTTCAGGATCCATCCTAGTGGCTAATCAGTAAAAGCCTGTTTATGCTCGGAAGTATTAAAGAAAATTGAAACTACTCTCTAAATTGATGTCCCTCAGCCACATTTCTCTTTTGTCTATTTGGAAACCCATGCCACTGATTTGTTCCTTGAAACCTACTTGTAAATAAATCTTCTTTGTTGTTAATATATAATTTCTGCCTCAGTGACCTTCATATTCCACTCGTGCACCACAAAACTTAGTTCCCCAGCAGTGAACCCAAAGCCCTAGACACTAGCTGCCTTTAGAACACCTGGTATCTGAGGGGGAAATAAGCCTGGTTCTCATAGGAGGCTGTGTGGTTCCCCTCGGTTGACAGAAATAGCCTGTCATAGCGGCTTCCATAGCAGAGCAAGGATTCCGACCTGGACCTCCCAGCTCCTGGTCTGGCACTCTGACCGCTACCTCACGCTGGCTCTGTTAAAGGATCCATGTCTGTATTTTCTAACTGCCTTTTCCAAAGACTTTCAGTCATTTAAAACCATGATCTAACTTGTTCTTTAGCAACAGCAATGTTTAGCTAAAAACAAAATGATTACTTTCATTGGCGTTACCCATTATTTGTTATCGCTGTCTGATTTTAGTCCTGTGTCCTTGTTTTTTGATCTCAAGGTTAACAACTCTGTAACAGTAACTTCTTCTGGTCGAGTAGTAAAGAAGCGTATTAACTTGCTGGACGATGATCCGGAGCGAGAGGTAACTTACATTCTAAAACTGTTGGTCGCCAGCTGAAGGAGCCACCCTGGGTTGTTTTGTTTTTGTTTTTAACGTGCCGGGCATGTACATAGGGAGAAATCTTACTCGTCCACGCCCCTAATAGCTTGCTAATGTAAACAGCCTAAAACATAGTTGGTTGGATCCCGTTTTGCGTGGGACACAAAGATAATGAATCTTCTCTACCTTCCCTTCCCCCTGGAGCCCTTTCTGACCCAGGAAATGTTTATTGCTGGGAATTGTGTGCATTAATAACCATGCAAGTCTGGCAGCCTCAGTGGGGAGGAGGAAAAGAATGCAACCATCAGCTCTTTCTGCTGGCGGGTTCGTGGGATCCAAGCCCTTCTCTAATAGCCCCTTGTGAGCCGGGCAGCTGCGGTGATGAGGAGGAAGAGATCACAGTTGCGCCTCTCTTCCTGTTCTGGGAGCAGAACTCCACTTGTGCAAGAGGAGGAAAGGGCGAGTTTGTTCCCTTTCCCCCTCCCCATTACAGCTGTCCAACCAGTGTGGCTGTTAGTATATGTGAGTCCCTTGACCCCAGCAAGAAACTTTCTCAGGGCTCGGAAAGGGCTCCAGTGGGGACGGGAAGGTGGGAAAGATCCCGGACCATCAGCTTTTGCTGTTGGTGGGTTCTCAAGATCTAAGCCCTTTTCTGAGCTTGGCCTGGAATGCAAGAAGCAGGGATCCATTTAAAACATAGAGCAAATAACTTTGTTTGCTAATCAGTTACTGATTCTAGAAATGTAAACTTTTCCCTAAACACACAGCTGTTACATTCACAAGTTTTTTTTAAAAAAAAGTGGAATATGCTGTATTGGCAGGAGTGCTGGGCTAACGAAGTTTCAATTGTTGAGGATGGGAGTGTCTGAAATACCATGAAAGGAGATACAGGCAATCTTAGCTGGCTGGTGAAAATGTTGGCTATGTAAATATCCAATTTAACTGCCCACTATATTGCCTGCTACTTATTATTTGAGAGCATGCTATTCCTGACAAGATGGTAAACAACACTAGGAAGACACTACAGATCTGAGCATCGTAAACCATCCATCCCCCCCCCCCCCCCCCCCATTAGTAACTATTTTTGGAAACCCGTTTTTTCACCCTCCATCAGAAACTGTAGCTGAAATGACACAGCCACAGGAATTCTAATTCCTCAGCTTCTGGAAACCATTTCCAGCCTTGTTTCCATGGAAATGAATATTGTCTGGGCGAAAACATGGCACTGGTTCCTCTGTGGCCTTTAAAACCTACAGTTTATTTAAATTCCGTTACCAATAGGTAGATAGATGGGTAGATTTTAAAAAAGAAAGACAGTGGAATTACAGAAGCGGGCCGTTTTACCAATAGTCCCCCTGCCGTTTTGATTGTATGGCTGGAAAAAACTCACTTCGATTACCTGTTTGTTAAAAATATTCCCTTGAATTTCTTATGGGGGAACGTGGAGGAGAAGAGAACAAATCAAAGTATTTTTTTAACAATAAAATATACTGGATCTTAGGAGGTAATGTTAGTTAAGTTATGGGCTGTATTTTCCTACATTATTTACACCCACCCCTGCCCACACACACACACACATGCACATCTTATACACACAGACAACCTCATTATTGGCCAGATATTCTTCCTTCCTTACCTACATATGTTATCTGCAACATCTCTTACCTTATGCCAGGATCAGCTTTCTAATTCTATCAATGTAGATACATACAGAGAGAATAAGCAAGAAATCCTAAGCATAATACACCATTCACTACTGTCCCATAACTCCCTTAAGGTTCACATAATGACTCTAATCTAAATCCACTAAAATCAATGGGTTTAGACTGGAGTGACTCTGCATAGGATTGCGATGTAAAATCTTACTGAATTCTGTCAAGTTAGCAAAGACATCTTGCAAGCCATCACCTGAGCAAGATTCGAGTCAAGTAGTACCCTTAAGACTGACAAGATTATCTGACAAGGGGAGCTTTGACTCTCAAAAGCTTATAAACCCCCCCCCCCCCCCCGGTTGTTGGTTTTTAGCATCCTACTAGAACTGATTCATGCTCATCTACTGCAGACCAACATGGCTGCCCACCTGAAAGCAGTCACCTGTAGCTAACAATGCACATATACAAGAGGTTGGTACTTCCAGCAGAGAATGTGTTCCTGTTCTTCTAAATAAAGGGAGCCAATGTTGTCCACCTACATTTCTGCCTTCGTGCAGACCTAAGGACTGGGGCACCTTTCAAGGATTGCCACTTGAGCGTTCCATATGTGCACCATCAGAATAGCTGGGGTACATAAAGTACGTCAGGGTTCTGAGGAATACATGCCGAAAAGACTGTTCCACTCTTTTCCCGCTGTTAACATATGGAATATGTGTGTTTTCTTTTCATGGAGTGCAGTGCTGAATACTACTATTTATTACTGTGTTTATATATCAATGTTTTTTATTTGTGAGTAGAAAAATATCTTATATTCTGATAGTAATGTGTGGCCCACTCTGCAGATATCTAAATTCACAGACTAGGGAAACACTGATACAAAACAGATTTTCCCGTAAATTTGGGAGACAGCTCAAGTTTGCAGAAAAATCTGAAAACATTGATTAAATACGGGGGGGGGGGGGTTAAAATCCACCCACATTTCAAGACCTCTCTGCGGCTGCTGGACCTGTTGTGGTTCCTGGCCTCCTCAATGCCAGGCTCACCTCCCTCCCAACATCGCTGCGAGGCTCCCTGCCTCCTCTAATGTTGGTGCTGCCCCCCAGCCCTGCAAGTTCCTTGTGGATCCCCACTTGTAATTTATATCTTTCATTATTTTGTAATTCTCATTGAAAAGTTATAACGAGAATAGTAGCAATCAAGCTACTATTCTTTATTTCCTTTGGCCTTCTTCTCATTATCTTTTCTCAAATAAGGCAAATTACACACTTGCCTTGCGTACAATGTTACCTATAACGTTCTGATTAAACACTTACTGTTTATAAACAGATAATTGTGGTGGCTGGAAATTTGTCTATAGGTAATGTTATGGACAACCAGCAAATGAAAGCACTGTTATAAATCAGGATCTTCCTCTCCTGTGAGTTCTTTTGCACCATAGCAAGGAAGTATTTAAACGTAGCTAAAAATGTTCACTTGCTCATTAATGGCATTTCATTTCTTTTTTCCAAGACTTTCAAAATTGTGGACTATGAAGATGAACTGGATTTACTGTCTGTCGTGGCAGTTACTCAGATAGGAGGCGATGGGGCAGCTCATCTGGACTTCCATTGTAATGAGAAAGGGACTCGACTCAAGCGCATTCTTTTTGCAGAGCCTTGGGACGTGGCGAGTATTTTGTTTTTTGCTTATGTATCTCATCTCATTGTGCCGTTGTATGTGTCATTCACATTCTAAATTGAGAGGTCCAAAAGAGATTCCATGTGGAAAAAACTCTAAGAGTGCCTTCAAGGATCATGCTGTGCCACAACAGCTTTGCTCATGGGTCTTCAGCGGGTGCCAATCAGCAAATGGGCAAAACCTAGAACTGCCCATACATATACCTTCTCCCCAGCCACACAAGTTCCCTGTGGGTCCCCACTTGTAATTTATATCTTTCATTATTTTGTAATTCTTGTTGAAAAGTTATAACAAGAATAGTAGCAGTCAAGCTCATGGAACGGCCTGCCCAAGGAGGTCAGAAAGGCTCTCGCTCCCATAGCTTTCCGCAAATAATGCAAAACTTAATTATTTAAGAGGGCTCTTCTCCTCAGGCAATAGAATTGCACTGTGTTAAATTCAGGTGGGTAGCTGTGGTGGTCTGAAGCAACATAACAAAGTTTGAGTCCAGTGGCACCTTTAAGACCAACAAACTTTAATTCTGAGTATAAGCTTTTGTGTGCATGCACACTTGTTCAGATACACTGAAACTGTTTCATAGTCAAAGTCAACAGTTGACTCTGTTATAAAAGCCAAAGAATTTTTAAAGGCTCAGCTGGAAAAACTAGAGGATGAACAAAAAGAAGAGGACAGCAAGTCTAGCGGCAAGTTGGACTCTGGCTCTTCCGGAGAGGACTCTGTATCTGAAAAGGGGGCAGCCGCCCCAAAAAGTCCTTACAAGCTACGGAAAAGACGAGGAAAAGAGAAGTAAAGGCTGAAGGACTTTGAATTGTGCCTTTGAGAATGGTGAAATGGGATGATGGGGGGGTATTGTCTTTAGACAGTGAAGTTTTTAGCTATTGAAAAAAGGAAACTATTATTAATGATTGACAGTTTATTTTTGATCTAAAGGAAGGGAAAACTTATTGTAACTAAGCTAATGAAGATCTCCTTTCTTGGGTTTTTCGATAGTAGTGGGTTTCTTTTCTTTATCCCGTATATGTAGTACCCCTCCCCCTTTTTTCTGTGATAGTTTGTAGTCTTATAAAAATAATAAAAAATCCCCTCCAGGGGCTAAAAAAAGAAAAGAAAAAGAAAAGAAACCTGCATATGCTCAGGAGACACACGGGAGTTGCCCTGGTGGATCAGAACAAAAGGGGTTCTTGTGGCTTGCAGACCAGGTTTAATATCATTTTTCTATATTACAAACTAAGCTCTTTTTAGATATGCTTCCGTGGTTCTTTGGGAAAATTAAGTGTCTCTCTTTGGCTCAGCAAGGATGTTAACAAGCTTCGCCTCTTGTTGGGGGGGGTGTCAACAGTGGGAGGGCTTCTAATGTCCTGGCCCCACTGGTGGACCTCCTGATGGCACCTGGTATTTCTGGCCACTGTGTGACACAGAGTGTTGGACGGGATGGGCCTTTGGCCTGATCCAACATTGCCGTCTCTTATGTTCTTATGTTCTATCTCACCCCACTCAACCCACAATGATCCATGCAATGGTCACCTCAAGATTAGACTACTGTAACTCACTCTCCATAGGGCTACCCTTGAGATTGACCCAGAAACTTCAGCTGGTTCAGAATACAGTAGTGCAGGTCCTTACAGGAACCCCTATTACAGCCCATATCCAACTGGTGTTCCATCAGCTGCACTGGCTCCAGATTGAATACCGGATTATGTTCAGATGTTGGTTTTAACCTTTAAGGGCCTTCATGGTTTGGAACCAACATATCTTTGGAACCACCTCTCCTGGGATACCCCTAAAGAGCTCTACACTGTTTAAATAACAGCATACTGACAGTCCTGGGGCCAAGGAATATTTGCCTGGCCTCAACTAGAGCTAGAGCCTTCTCAGCAGTAACTTCAGCTTGATGGAATGCACTTCTGAGTGAGTTCCGGGTCCTGTGGGACTCGGCTCATTTCCACAGGGCCTGTAAAACAGAGATGTACTGTTAAGCATATGGGTGAGGCCAGGAGAATTCCCATTCATATCTTTCTTCCTCCCCCTTCTCCCCCCTTTTTTCTTTCTCTGGGACAGTGATAGTATTATTATATGCCATCTGATTAATTGTAAACATTTCAACTTGAATCTGTTAAATTTATGTGTTTTAACTGTGTTTATTATATTTATTTTCTCAAATTTCTACCCTACCTTCCCAACCGAGGCCCGCTCAGGGCAGCTTACATAAAATCAGCATATATATGCAATTAAAACATTTAAACCAAACTAAAACTAATTAACAATAACACAATAAATGCTAGTTTGTTGTTGTTATTATGGCTACTATATAAGTTCTTTTTTCCCGTAACTGGCTCCTAGATCTATTTAGGGTATCTTCCAGGCAGTTGGCACAGGCTGATGTTATAAATTCCAGAGACAACAGGGCTTCCTGTCTTTTGACAACTAGTTGTTAGTAAAATTCAATAGTGATCAGTGGTGGTGGCGGCTCCATAAGCCTGGCGGAAGAGCTCCATTTTGCATATGTTGTGATCTGCTCTGAGCCCCACGATAGTGGGGGAGAGCAGAATTGAAATCGAATGAATGAATGATGGCAATAACTCATTTATTTCATGGAAGACCCCCTTGAAGCCAACGCTTCAGGGCTACTCAGAGATTGGTGACCTGAAGGTTGACGTCTTAATAATATTTTTATGTGAGCATGCTGTGAGCATGCGGGTGGGGAGTTTCTGCAGCAGAGTTGACATCAGCTTCTGGTGTCTGTCTGTCCTTCAACACAGGGAACGAGCAGTGATTTGTCCACAGTACCTGGTCACCCTTATTGCAGTCAGATCAGGACAACATTCCATAGAGCAGCTTTTGGCTAGCGATGTATTCTGTCATTACTCAAAGCTTAGGGTTATAATCTGCAAGGAGAGGCCAAGTCTGTGGTGTGTTTTCCCACCACAAAGCGCCTGTAGATGCTGCCTGTACTTCTCCCTTCCCTTACCTAGCAGAAAATGAAAATTACTATTTACTTTGTTCTCTCCCTGCAGACTTACAGCCATGAAGTTTACTTCGACAGAAATGTGGTGCTGCACATAGAACAAAAGCCCAACAGGATCTTCAGCTGTTACGTTTACCAAATGGTCTGTGGTAGTTCAAGAGAGGGTGAAGACATCAGGAAACACAAAAGGGAGCGACGTTTTTGTAAAAAAATGGGAAGGACCTTTGAATGTTTTTAAAGAACCCCTGTTGTTTAGAGGCTTTGCTACAGACGGCATCCAAAAAGCCATAAACCACACTGGGCTAGTTAATAACTGTTATTCAGCTCCACCCGAATCCCTAAAGATAAGAGAATTAAAAAAAAAAAAACCACCCTACTACAGTGCAACATTATTACTGCCCATGACATTACATAAAAAAAGGAGATGTGTGAAAAGAGACTTTTTCTTGTACTAGTTTTTGTTGACAGAATGATATACAAGCTATTCAGCTAGCTCAGGCCCTGTCTGGGGTCCAAAGAGATTCCTGTCATGGGTAGAAGGCTCTCCTACTCACACAAGAAAGGGTCCTCAATCTCCTAGTCCAGCAACAGCGCCATGCCCCCCCCCTTCACATCTCACACTGTTTCAGAAGAGGTCCCCTGTTCCTCCACATTAGTTCTTTCGATGGTATGCGGGGGGGCAGACCTGGATGGCTCAGGCTAGCTTGATCTCATCAGATCTTGGAAGCTAAACAGGGTTGGCCCTGGATAGTATTTGGATGAGAGACCACCCAAAGTCACTACACAGAGGTAGGCAATGACAGACCACCTCTGAATATCTTTTACCTTGAACCTCCCCCCTCCCTTGGGCTGCTGTAAGTCAGCTGTGATTTGACAGCACTTTTCCAACAAAGGGGGCGGGAAAAACAACAGAAAGAAAGAGGCAGGACGTCCTCATTGCGCAAGCAAGGTTTTACTCACAGTTCTTGGGTTCCAGCCCTGTATTTATTTGTATATATATTTATATTGAAATGTATCTCTCACTTTTTATGTATAAAGAAGAACTCAAAAGCATAAACAGTCATTTTAAAATTACATAAACCAGCCATTCTCAGACTCTAGCAACCCAAGGAGCCCCATCTTGAGGGATTTTTTTTTTTGGTATCCAAGCCTCAAAATCCTTCTTTCTTGCCTCAGTGGCACACAGCACAGGGAGGGAAGGCTCTTTTCCCATTATGTGTGGTAAGCCATGTACGCCCCTTCTCTTGCGTCCTCAGTGCAATGCAGCTTCAGGTTTTAAGAAAACTGTGTTGCCTGTCCAATAGCCTACAAGGTCAGGTCTCAGCTGATTCTATGGGGCCACCACACAAAAGGCCCTGACCCAAGTTTTAACCAGTTGGGGATGGCAAGCCACTTCTTATTAGTTATTAACTTCTAGCTAGAAGTCAGCAGACGCATGTGGGCCAAAACTTGGCTTCCAGCACATTTCTGTCTGCATTATTTGTCACAAATCAGCTCCACTCAGTTTACCAGCACTAGTGCCGGTGAGGAAGACTGCAGGAGTCTGAGATGACTGGCACATTGCAGGTAGCTGGAGTAGGACTGTTGGATGATCTCATTAATGGTGGAAACAATGAGGGTCATATTGAATTAATTAAACATAATGTGAATGGTTTTGAAGTAGTTGTTTATATAGGATAGTGTATTTCTATATGAAACTACTTCTAGTAAGGCTGTGCTCCTGATCTCACTCACTAGGAAGTTTCTAGCCCACCATTTGTAACATACAAACTTGGTGGCAGAGAGCAGAAAAAGAAAAGAAAAAATAGCTAGTGCTATCCAGTTACTCTTTCAATGACTGTATTGTGAATAATTATTTCACTAGCAATGATTTCATAAAATTAGGCAAAATTTTAAAAACATAGCCTTTTAAACTGTCTCAAAGTAAAGGAACAAAAATTTAGATTACAGAACACTCTTTGTATTTTTGTAGATGTTTGTAGCTTTATACTTGCCAGCCTAGCAGTTCGAAAACAAGAATTTGCAAGTAGATAAATAGGTACCACTTCGGTGGGAAGGTAACAGCGTTCCGTGCGCCTTGCCTTTAGTAACCCTAATTTATGTGGTATAGAATAAATACAGTGTGCAAAGATTTTATTATAGAAGTTGTACTGAGGCCCTGTTCATACGAGCCATTTGGGCCGGGAGAAGGACGGATCGGGACCGGAGCAAACGGGCGCGATCCCACATCAACATCTGGGGAACGTCGTGCTACCGTCTCCGATCCGTCCCATCCCGCCCATGAAGTGCACCAAAAAAGAACCACCTACCTGGGTGGTTCTTTCGAATGGGCCGCGGCAAGTGCAGCCATGGGATCACCGGCGCGTCCTTGTGCCGGCGCATCCCCGGCTCCTGGCCGAACTGCGCATGTGTGAGCATGCGCAGTTCGCCAGCCTCCCCTTCCCACCGTCGCTTTCTCCCTGGCATCTTATCGTGCTGGGGAGCGACGGCGCCGCGGCTCGGGGGATCCGTGAGATCCTGCCGCGCCGTCTCAACTTTGATGCGGCTCAGATTAGCCGCAGTTCGACCGTCCTTTTCCCTGCCGTGTGGCAGGGGCCTGAGTTTGGCTATCTTTTCATGGTTTTTTAGTACTAGCAGTTTGCTAGATGGTACACAAAGTCCAGAGGAGCTGTGGCCCCTAAGCGGAGAACTTGCAGCCAGCCACCACAAATGGGTGGTGGAAAGGGACAGAGACTAATTTAATAGTAGTGAGGATGATGTAGGGGTCAGATAGTCAGGCCAAGAGGGTTCTGAAAACATTTTCTTGAAGGAAATGGGTTTGGAGAAGCAGAAGTTTTAAATATTGTGTAGGGACAAACTTCATGCATGTATGAATGAGCACATTTTGAATGGAAGAATTTAAAAATGTCACTCTAGCCTACTTCCATTCCTTAGTTTGTTCACAGTTCAGTTTCCCTGTCCCTGTCTTAACAGGGTATGGATGCTCAGTAGGGAGAGAATTCCTGCTTTGGCAACAGGGGAATGGCATTAATATCTAGAGCAACCTCTGTGCATTCTCAATCTTGTTGTATTCCCATTCCCAATGTACCTCTCCTGGTAGGAGAAGCAGTGATGGTCTCATTCCTGAAGTTGTAAAATATTTGCATTGGGTTTACAGAATTGTTTGCACATGCTAATAGCACTGCTCTTTACGCAAAGGGAATAAATTGCTGAGCTATCCTCTATAAATAATGTTTCTTATTTGCCTCATTTCAGCCTGAGCATGTGGAACTGCTTGGCCTGACAGGTCGAGTTGGAGAACTTTAAAACTGTCATCTAGACTTGGGCCAGAAAAGCATAAATAAGTGGCTACTCTTACCTGATATAATTTATTTAACAGTAATCGTTTCACAGGACAATATTTTAATTCTGAATTATTTGCTTCGACTGCCATTGGAGAAATACCTTGGTTAACGGATAGAGAGAAGACGAGATTATTGAAATGTGCAAAAAGTGAAAGCTGGGCATGCATTTACGGTGAGCCTGGGAACATGAGCAATAAAATTGACACCTGACACTCAAGTCAATGCACTGCAGATTTAAAATGTAAGGAAACCTGTCTTGACTCCTGCATGGACTCATATTTTAACAAGGTTGTTATAAGTATCACTGGTGGCTTCTGGAATGTGTGGAATCGTTAAGAATAAAATTGGCTTTTATTTGGTTTTTATTTGATTTGTCAGACTCTCGTCACTGGGCATTCTTTCTATAGTAGTTGATTCTTTTTTAAAAAGAGAAAAATATCCAGAAATTTTTTCAAAAATGCCCAGTACAGCTCACAAAATTTGCAAGTCTTGTTAGGGCACCTTTATCTAACGATTTATCTTTAATAATTTAATTTGTCCCTGCAAAGTGTTCTTTTTATTACTAAGATGCACTTTTGTTGAAAGACCAAATGGTGGGACTTAGGCTGAAGGATACTTATGCTGCTTATGAAGCCTTTCCCTTAACATAGTTTTTTTGTTTTCTCACGGCAGTGCTGTTCAGTATGTGTCAGCCAACCTCAATAATTTGGCTCAGGTGTTTGTTGCTGTAGCAGTTCTCTATTATGTCTCCGTCCGCAACTGCCTCTCAAGCTGCCAGCTTAAGGTGGCGTTTGGAAACATTCAGACGACCACATGAAGTCACAATGATGGCTCTAGGGCATTTATTGTTTTCTCCTGCCGTGAGCACAACAGACTCCTGCTATCACATTCTACCTTGAAGTCGGGTAAAAAAACATCTCTGGCTCTTTCCTCCAAGCTCCCAATTATTCATGCACTTTCTATCCAGTTCCCTTTTTTATAAAAAGCAGACACCAGAAATGAGTACATTGAAATTCAATGAGAAAAGGGTGTTCTGGGCCACATATTAATGAGACTGCCCTTTCCCTCGGTTATTGCAAGTGGACTTTTCCCAGCCCATGTCCCTTCCAACAGGGCTCCACAGGGAGGGAGAAGAAGAGTCACTCAAAGGCAACCATGCACTTTTCCAGCTCCTTTCTTTGCTACTGGGAGAGACTCTGCAAGGAAGGAGGAAACAGAACTGTATAAGAGAGAGACTGCAAATCCGTTATCTGCAGAAAAGGACCTCAAAAAGAGGGAAGTGATAAGTCCAGTGAAGAGCCTGAATCGGCCTTTACAGAAGCCACAACCAAGTCTTTCTGCCCAGCTGCAGCAGGTGGTCACACCCCCTCCCTTTTATTAAGAGGAATGAGAACTTGCTTCCACATCTAGGTCAGTCCAACCCATAGCAACAAACTTGAATTCTCAGAATCCTTGCAAGGGGAGGTGTATATGTGCTAGAACTAGTCTTATTGATTTTATGTTTATTCCCCACTTTTCTCCCCAATGGGGACTCAAAGCAGCTTACAATATCAGTTTTTCCTTTATTTTATCCTCCCAGCAATCACCCTCTGAGGTAAGCTAGGCTGAGAGAGAGCTCCTGGAGATTTGAGGGTGGAGCCATGAGGGGAGGGAGGGACCTCAGTGGGGTATATAGTCTAGCCTTAATACAGGATAAAAGTTTAATTTGCCACAGACTGGTAGAAACCTTTTAAAGATATTTGTAACTCAGTGTTGCTAACAGGTAATTGAGTAGAATTTTCTAGGCATGTGCTTTGTATTTTACGCACGTCATAGTCCCTTCTCGGACGAAGCTCTTTTGAGAAACGGGAGAAAAAAGGTTGACACGCCCCGTCAGGACAGAACATTAATTATACGCAGGGGTCATTTCGTAGAAAAAGAGCTAGGGGGACTCATTAGCATAACTCATTAGCATATGCCACACCCCCTGACATCACCGGAAGTGTGTCCTCCCCACAGCCGGCGGTGACCTCCAGCGGGCACCAGCAGGGAGCTCCAGGCCCCGCCCTCCCGCACCTCACCCGGGGGGATGGTGTCCCCCCCCCAAATGACCCCTGATTATACGGCTGTGCCTTCTATTAGGCAACGTGGGAGTTAAACTATTAGACTATTTTGGAATTGTGTGCCTAGGCACAAGATATACTACATTCATAGTGCCTTTAAACCTATGTTGCCTTTGTTGTTCCACTCTTTGAGACTGTGCCTTTTTGTAATATTTTTGTATGAAGAAAACTTTGGAGAAAGATATTTTTTGAATAATAACTCATGTTTTGTACAGCACTTGGATCGGGTCCTTTTTTAGTGAGTTATCATAGGTGCTG